TTCATCATCATCATCATCATCATCATCATCATCATCATCATCATCATCATCATCATCATCATCATCATCATCATCATCATCATCAACAACAACAACAATAACAACAGCAACTGCAACAGCAACAGCAACAGCAACAACAACAACAAATATATTTTTAAAAAATAAATAAATAAACAAACAAATAAATAGATAAATAAATAAACAAATAAACAAACAAACAAATGAATAAGAGTCCCAATATACAAAATTGGGAACCACTTTCAGGGGACGACTGTAGCTTGGACAAGGACGGATGCCGGAGCAGACCTTGCCCTGAGCTGACCACCTGCACCGACGTGCCAGCCCTAGAGGAGATGACCAGTGGTCAAGCGTATAAGTGCAGCGACTGCCCGGCAGGTTACACCAGGTTCCAACAGGGGGAAACCTTCAAGTGTAAAGGTGGGTTCTAGAGCTCTGTCCTATATCCTATAGCTCTGTCCTATGTCCTATAGCTCTGTTTTATAGCTCTGTCATATGTTCTAGAGCTCTGTCCTATGTCCTATAGCTCTGTCCTATGTCCTATAGCTCTGTCCTATGTCCTATAGCTCTGTCCTATGTCCTACAGCCCTGTCCTATGTCCTATAGCTCTGTTCTACAGTTGTGTTCTATGTTTTAAAGCTCTGTTCTATAGTTCTGTCCTATGTCCTATAGGTCTGTCCTATAGGTCTGTTCTATAGCTTTGTCCTATGTTCTATCGCTCTGTTCTATAGCTCTGTTCTATGTCCTATAGCTCTGTTCTATGTTCTATAGCTCTGTTCTATGTTCTAGAGCTCTCATCTATGTTCTATAGCTCTGTTCTATGTTCTATAGCTCTGTTCTATGTTCTATAGCTCTGTTCTATGTTCTATAGCTCTGTTCTATGTTCTATCGCTCTGTTCTATAGCTCTGTTCTATGTCCTATAGCTCTGTTCTATGTTCTATAGCTCTGTTCTATGTCCTATAGCTCTGTTCTATGTTCTATTGCTCTGTTCTATGTCCTACAGCTCTCATCTATGTTCTATAGCTCTGTTCTATGTTCTATAGCTCTGTTCTATGTTCTATAGCTCTGTTCTATGTTCTGACTTGTTCTTTCTCGAAACGTTAAAACTGAGAGAGTGGATTGTTGTCGGGTGCCCTTTTGTGGTTTGCTCTTTCTTTCCCATCGAACGTGCCTATCTCTCCTCCTTTGTGTGTTTGTTACCGGCCTCTAATCTTCAGAACTAACATAACCTAATTGTGTTGCATATGCCTTAAAACACTTACAAAATCAAAAGACGTGTGAGAGCAATATTTATTTAATTTTTTTGTGGAGGGAATGTGGTGACGCTTTTGAAAGCGAATGATCATTGTTTTAAATGTTATTTATTTATGTATTCATTTATTTCTTTGTTTATTTTTTATTCTTTTTTTTGTTTATTTGTTTATTCCTCTACACCCCCACCCCGCTTCAACATTATATAATAACATTATCTCTCCCCCCCCCCAGACGTGGATGAGTGTGTGGGCGTGTCCCCCTCCCCCTGCCCCGCCCACGCCGACTGCAGCAACAGTGAGGGCAGTTACCTGTGTCAGTGTGTGTCTGGCTATAGAGAGACGGGGGACGGCGCGTGTGTGGGTGAGTACTGTGTGTGTGTGTGTGTGTGTGTGGGAGGGGGGATTTACCTGTGTCAGTGCATGTCTGGCTATAGAGCGACGGGGGACAGCGCGTTTTTGGGTGAGGAATGTGTGTGGGGGTGTGTGTCAGTGTGTATGTGGGTGAGTACTAAGAAAGTGTGTGAGTACTATTGGTGTGTGGGTGAGTACTATGTGTATATGTAAGTACTGTTGGTGTGTTGGTGAGTACTATGTGTGTGTGAGTTCTGTTGGTGTATATACAAATGTAAATAAGCCTTTTCAATATTTACAAAAAAAATTTTGGTGTAAATGTTTGTTCGTCTTTTTAGCATAATGGAAATAGTGTGATCGTTTGCGGTTGCGAGCTCCGAAAGACTCTTACTAAAAACACGTCTGATTTTGTAGCGGTGAAACCTGATGGCGCTTAAATGACCAAAATTGTGTCGATAGTGCCAAAAAACATCTACCCAATCAATCAATCAATGTTTTAAATGTTATTTATTAATGTATTCATTGATTTCTTTGTTTATTTTTTATTCTTTTTTTTTGTTTATTTGTTTATTCCTCTACACCCCCACCCCGCTTCAACATTATATAATAACATTATCTCCCCCCTCCCCCCAGACGTGGACGAGTGTGTGGGTGTGCCCCCCTCCCCCTGCCACGCCCACGCCGACTGCAGCAACAGTGAGGGCAGTTACCTGTGTCAGTGTGTGTCTGGCTATAGAGAGACGGGGGACGGCGCGTGTGTGGGTGAGTACTGTGTGTGTGTGTGTGTGTGTGTGGGAGGGGGGATTTACCTGTGTCAGTGCATGTCTGGCTATAGAGCGACGGGGGACAGCGCGTTTTTTGGGTGAGGAATGTGTGTGGGGGTGTGTGTCAGTGTGTATGTGGGTGAGTACTAAGAAAGTGTGTGAGTACTATTGGTGTGTGGGTGAGTACTATGTGTATATGTAAGTACTGTTGGTGTGTTGGTGAGTACTATGTGTGTGTGAGTTCTGTTGGTGTATATACAAATGTAAATAAGCCTTTTCAATATTTACAAAAAAAATTTTGGTGTAAATGTTTGTTCGTCTTTTTAGCATAATGGAAATAGTGTGATCGTTTGCGGTTGCGAGCTCCGAAAGACTCTTACTAAAAACACGTCTGATTTTGTAGCGGTGAAACCTGATGGCGCTTAAATGACCAAAATTGTGTCGATAGTGCCAAAAAACATCTACCCAATCAATCAATCAATGTTTTAAATGTTATTTATTAATGTATTCATTGATTTCTTTGTTTATTTTTTATTCTTTTTTTTTGTTTATTTGTTTATTCCTCTACACCCCCACCCCGCTTCAACATTATATAATAACATTATCTCCCCCCTCCCCCCAGACGTGGACGAGTGTGTGGGTGTGCCCCCCTCCCCCTGCCACGCCCACGCCGACTGCAGCAACAGTGAGGGCAGTTACCTGTGTCAGTGTGTGTCTGGCTATAGAGAGACGGGGGACGGCGCGTGTGTGGGTGAGTACTGTGTGTGTGTGTGG